CCGAAGGGGTGTGGCAGAGGGGGAAGTATGATATTTTCCCCGATCTGAGGGTGAGCTGGAGCCAGGGTGCCGAAGGCACCCAGGTTCTGGGTGAGCGTCTGGATGAAGGCGGAGAGCGCCGATTGCACGTCGATGGTGAGAACCGGAGGGCTGACTTGGTCATCGCTCCGGTTTTTCTTCTTGGCCTCGATGCCGAGGCGGGCATCGGGGGCATTTTGTTGGATCTGAAGGCGTAGGTCGACAGCCGCCTGTTCCAGCCCAGCGATGACACCGCCCTCGGGAGCCCTGTGAGAGGCTTCGGGGGCGTTGACGTCGCCGAGGGCCAGGTTCTTGTCTTCTACGTTCTTTGAGTTGGCACGTGTTGTCCTCACCATTTTGATAGAGGGCTAGTGTTTTGCGTTTGATCGAGGGGGAGGGTTTCTTACTTGATTGTTCGACCTCTCAACGAGAGCACCAAATGATGGATAGTCTACCCGGGGGTATATATCCGAAGGGTTATTACGGGGAATAACTTAGAGAGAAGTCAGAGCAAGTAAGTAAAAGTAGAGAGAGAGTGTATTCAGTATGAATGCCGTTTTCAGCGTGGTTACAAATGGGGAAATGGGGTGCTATTTATAGTAGCAATAAATGCCAGGCAGGGACACGTGTCAAGCGCTCATTGGCCGAGGGGTCACCTCAACTGGTTGGCGCTGGCAGCCGCATGTGGCCGCATTTAATGCGGCTGTTGGATGGGACGTCTGTGCGGGGTACGGTGATCTGTACGCATGTGAGGCGGATATCTTGTCGAGTGAGATGCCTTCAGCTATAGAGCAGTAGTCGAGGGCTCTTCCACCCGATGGCACCCTGGTGCCGAGGGCTACTGTTTTCGCCGTTTTCTCCCAGTTTCTTAATTTGCTTGATAAACCCGCTCTGTGAGAATTTAGAGCCTTCGGCCAGGGGGGCGAAGGCACCCCTGACGCGTAGTGCGGGCTGCTTGGCACTCTGGGCGCTGTGATTTGGGCCTGCTAGGCCTGTTGGGCCTTCGCTGGAGTAGTAGGAGTCTGTGGGCCGGGGGTTCCCGGGCCATATACTCCATCAAAATTATGTTGGGAAGTTAAAATGCAATAAGGTAATTTTTACTTACCTTAATAGGATATTTAGATCCTACCGACAAATATTTTATTTGACTCAAAGGTTAATTAAATGTCACAAGCTTAAGATGCTCGAATATCATATATGAATGTGTATGATTGGAAGACAAAACTGCTTAACATTAAATGCTGGGAAGGTACATGGACCTACCAACTGGACGCACACCATGTCGCGGCCTAATCTCCGGAGACAAGGTGACTGCCCCAATAAAAGCTCCTGCACAAGAAGACGAGTGTACAATTCGTCCTTGCCAGACCTTCAACGAACAAGATTGATCCATCCTAACCAACGGATGAGATTAATCAACCGGAGTTACCTATAAATATAGGCTAAAACGAAAGTTTCTAACCAAGCTTGAGCATCCTAAGTAGAGAAATATTTTCATTGAGCATTCACGAGCTAACTAGCAAAAGAGAAAGTGTGAATCTATACTTTACTCTCTGCTTAGACTCATGCTTCACTAAACTTCTTAGTCACAAGTATTCGTTGCTAAATCCTAGAAGTTTAGTTCCTAGTTGGAGGTTAGAACTTTCTTGTAACAAATCACAAATTGTTGTAAACACTTAGGAGAACAGTTGTTCGGATCCTATAGTGTGGTTAGATAGATAGAGTACCTTTTGATCCCACTGGATCATTTGAGAAAAGTCTAAGGACTGAGTAACTTTGAGTGGTGTTATACTCATTGTGAAAAACCTTCAATCTAGGCCTAAGTGTTGTAAAGGCTAGATTGGCACTAAGTGTATTGGGCTTAATACTTTAGTGGAAATCCATCTGAAAGAGGGTGGGACTGGACGTAGGAGGATTACACCACCTCTGAACTAGGATATACTGTGTGTTGATTTACTTTCAGTCAACAAAGCACACACCCAACACCTCTCACAAAAAGATTGTAGTTTGCCAGCAGCATCCTAAGCAGTAAGTCTTAATTGACCCTACTGCTTATCCTACTGCTTAATAACTCACTTTCTTTGAGACAATCTTTCCACAAGAGCCTTGCAATATCAACACTAAAATGTGTGTTCTATCATATCTCAGGAAATCATGCTAAAGCATAGCAGCTGCCTCAACAGTCCCCTAGTGACTACCCAACTGCTGAGACCACTGCCAATATAAAACTATTTCCCTTAAACATCTCAACTTCACCAGACCTTCAAAACTCTCTCATCAAGGGGTCTGTTCAAACTGATCTCTGAAACTCAAGTTGTAACCTAGCAGTTGCCTCATTGCCACCCAACTGCCGAGACCACTGCTCCAGTAAAACTCCCAGTTACTTGTACTAAAGCACATCTTCAGAAAGCCCTCATCACTTTGAGCAATATTATATAATCAGTCTTCCCATATCTTTATTTTCACTTAAACATGTACCTCAGTAGTTCCCTGGTTACTACCCAACTGCTGAGACCACTGCTCTCATTAAGATTGATTATCAACCCACCTCATTACATCATCAGAAACTCCTTCTCATTCTAAGAAAGATTCTGCGCGCACTTTCACCACACTCAGTATTTCACTAGCAGTTGCCTCAGCAGTTGCCTGCCTTCTAGTCAACTGCCAAGCCAACTGCTCACCATATAAAGCCCAAACTTCATCCATCATAGAAAGTTGTTATACACTATTTATCTAAGAGGTTAAAGACTTCCGTTGTGCATCTATACATTTCCCAAAATATTTTAGATCAACTCATCTAGAAGGGAAAAGTTTTCAAAGTTGAAAAAGCTTTAAAAGTCTATTCACCCCCCCACCTCTAGACTTTTACCTCTATCCGGGACCATCAAAATGGAAGGTCGTTGGGGGCATGTGCCCCCACTAACATCAGCATGCATCCGCCCCTGGTTGAAGATCTCATTTGGTATGTTAATGTTGGGAAAATATGTTAAAAATTGTATGAAATGGTCAATTTGGAGCAACATTTAAGTGGGATCCACTTTAGATTTGGCTCGGGTCAAAGTGGTTTCGGATTGTCCTTGTTAAAGACTACAATTCGATATATGGTACATTCAAAACGGATAACGGGTGCATGAGAAATTGATTTTTGAAGTTCACTCGTTGAAATGTAAAAACTGGAAAAATGATGGATTTCTAGTGGGATTTATCCCAAACCGGAAAAACCAAGGGATTTTCACTCCCGTATAAAGGGAAGCCTCTTTGAAGGAGTTAAAATTCTTAGGTGGAAAGGCTCTATTCATTCCTTGTGTTTTAAGTTTTTAACATTCTTGTGTGGTAGAAAGTAAATTGTTATGAATTTTGTATGGGGAAAAAGTAATTTTTAGTGACCGATAAAAACAAGAACTGATCCGTTAAGTATTGGTTCAGTTCCATAACGCTTCGTGAATTTTTATATAAGAACCGAACTGATTTCATTAATTAAAATTTTTATAATGGTTCCATAAATTTTGTACAAGAATCGAACCGGTCCCATGCCTAGATAAGTGGCGTTTGAAAAATGGCATTTTAGTAATAAAAAAAGTGCTTTGACATGTCTTGTTTGTGTTTTCAATATGTGAAAACATTATTTGGTAAATAATTGTTCGACCCATGGCCAGTCCTGGGCATGGGTGACGGGGCATGCACTCAGGGGCCATTGCTTCTCTAGGACCCACAAAATTTCAAGTTATATGCATATATATTTATTTTAATTATATACACATTATATATCTTTAAACATTAAAAATAAAATCAAACTCATATATTTTTATACTTTCAATTCATTATGCAACAACATACAAGCTACAGGTCTAAAATTGTGAAACATCCACACCAGAATTCCTTGTGAACAAACTTTATCATTGATTTTGATTCGATAATGATTAGTGTGTAAATGTTAATCTTTTCATCTACTTGTCTCATGTACACCCGTGATTCATCAATAGTATTTTACTCATTTTCTTTGGTTCTCTCATGTAAGTGAAAGAATATAGAAATTTGTAGTTGATTTTAGTTTAGTAAAAATGTGATTTGAAATATGAAAATGATACTCCTCATGATACAATATAACTATTACATCTTTCCCTAATTTGATTTTTATTGCAAGTAACAATTGTACTACTTTTCCATTTGGTCGATTTAGGTCCATAGTATTATTAAATATAATATTTCTAACCATCTCATCATTTATTAATTTCTTTGATGTGTTATACTCGTGTTTAGATGACAAAGTTGCTTAATTTTACTTATAGTTTTTATATAAAAAAATATAAACATTCACACGTTATCCGTAAGACCTACCTTTTCTACCTTATCAAATGTTATGTAATTAAATATAAATCTTTCTAACCGTCTCATCATTTATTAATTTATTTGATATGTTATACTCGTATTTAGATGAAAAAGTTGCTTGATTTTAGTTATAGTTTTTTTATATATAAAAATATATAAACATTCACACGATATCCATAAGACCTACTTTATCTGTACTATCCCGGACCCATAAAATATCAGGACCGGGCCTGCGGCTTTGACCCTAATGTTTTTAGACATAATTAGTTAAATGAACACACTATAAATAGAAGCTCTTTGGCTTAGCGTTAAGAACTAGGGCATTTCACACTAATTGTTTTCATCAAAGAGTTAAATCATCAAACATTTTTTTTTTGTAATCCACTCACTTGTTTTGTGAATAAAACCACTGAGTAATTCTGTTATTAACAAGCCGCTAACATAATTAGTTATGCTAAATACACCCCTAGACTATGCAAATACTCGGTATATTTGCAGCATGCATTTTTAGGACTACGTATTTATGACATGGCCATGACACCAAAGTGTGTGTGCTTAGACGGGTCAAATCGCACGGTTCAAAAAGCTCTGTGGAGGTGAACATAAAAAGGCTTTTGCCGGTTCCACACGCTTTTGTTTTTTCCCAGCTTCAATTTCCATCCACGAACCCAAAAAAGGCCAGCGAAAAAGGCCAAAAGATTATAACTAAAGAAAAGGAAAAGGGGAACTCAAAAAAGTGTGGCGACTTTTGATAAAAATGTGGGGGAGAAAAAGAATTGGGGCAAAAAAGCGTCGCTGAGTCATCATCAAGCCAAAAAGACGAGTCCACCTTTTTATATTCAGAAGATAGAGAATCTAGAAAGAGGAAAAGGGTAAAGGCAAGAAGAAGAAAGAAGAAGAAGATCTCAAATCAAGACCACATACAACTTGTGGCTCAGGCCAGCTTTTCCTCGCTGACCTGGACTTACCCCTCACCCACCTTTTCTGCTGCTGGTTTATACATACTGGGTCGCATATTGCTCCTCGCGAACCCGACCCAGACCCGTATTCTGACTCGCCGTGTCAGATCTCTGCGAGCGAGGAGCGAGGCGGTGTGACGGTGACCCATCGGATTCGGTGTTTGTTGCTTTGTTGTCTCTTGAAATTGCGGCTTTTGCGGTTCTTTTGGATGCTGGAGCTCATGTCTGATTCAAGTAAGGACCCGGCGATAAAGCTGTTTGGGAAGACCATCCAGCTGCCGGATATGCCGTTTCCGGCGACGGAAAGCTTTTTCCGGGATGATGCCGGTACTCCTGAACCGTCGTCTGATGATGGTCCGGGCGATGATAGTCCAGCTCTAGTGCGTCCGAGTTTGGCGAATGATCCGGCCGAGGCCCAAGGCTTTGGCGGCGGCGGGGAACATCAACGACTGCGAAAGGTAGCTGTTTTTTATAAATATGAGAACGAGTCGTCGTAGAACACTTCAATTCCTGTATTGGGTCGATCTTAGTTTTGGCTTCCGTTGACTTTGATAGATATTATGATGTGGTTGAAGTCATGTCATGAGCCTGAAACTTTTCTATCTAGGGTTTTGTGTAATACTACGTAGTTTATATTTCATCTCTTCTCCACTCCCTTTTGATCACCTTCCCCGTATGTATAAGGCTGAATCCATGCGATTTGTTGAAAAGGACTATTACTCCGTACTTTTCAGGAATAGTTTTTTCATAGCTTTTCTTATTGACCTCTATATTTAGTTGAACGAATGACTTTTTTTATCAATCTTATTTCAGAATTTAAGGTGTTTGAAACCTGTAGATGATTCAAATTGAAATGGAAAAGTTCAAGCTTTTAATATTATACCATCGTATCAATTGAAAAAAATGATGAACCTGAACATTTAGATATAGCCGTGAAGCCCGTGATCTGATTCCATGTGTGGGTTACAGTTTCTGTCTAACAATTGCTCTGGGATTTAACTGATGGATGGGCTAATTGTATTTTAATTTTATTTAGTCAAATTAAAGATAATGAGAAAAGTGGAAAGGATGGTTGGTTATTGCAATTTTCATCATCTTTCCTTTTTGGGACGTCCCAAAAAACTTTGCCACTTTCCTTTTTAATCAATTATTTTTATTTTGTGATTCCTGTTATTTCTCTCCTCTGTACAAATCTCAATCACACAATTTTTACTTTATTATTCTACGTGCCGGTCAAACTTGACAAAGTTTTACGGGACGTAGGTAGTATCTATTAACTGTACAATTACAATTCCATCATGATTAGTGTTTGTTTGATTAGTGTTTGTTTCTGCACTTTACATTCACTGACCTCATGTTATGAAATACAGAACCAATATGGAGGAAAGTTGGATGATAGGAAGGGGGATGAAGGCACCCTATCTTTGGTCGAAGAAGAGCTAACAGACCAGAGAGGAAAAGAAACAGAGATTGATGAATCAAAAACAATGAAAAAGCCAGAAACACATGAACAGGGAGAATCAAGTAATTCGTCACAAGAGAAGGCTCTGAAAAAACCCGACAAGATACTTCCCTGCCCTCGTTGCAACAGCATGGAAACCAAATTCTGTTATTTCAACAATTACAATGTGAACCAGCCCCGCCACTTCTGCAAGAATTGCCAGAGGTATTGGACAGCTGGTGGGACGATGAGGAACGTGCCTATCGGAGCTGGTCGGAGGAAAAACAAGACCCCTGGGTCCCACTACCGCCAGGTCACCATCCCAGAACAACAACTACCGAATGGCATCATCAAGCCTAGCAACAACGGCGGCGGGACCCTTCTTACATTCGGTGGCTCCGAATCGCCTCTCTGTGAATCCATGGCTTCTGTACTTAACATTGCAGAGATGAAAACCATGACGAATAAAAGTGCAGTAAACGGAGAGAACGGAGATGAGCATTCAACAAGTGGATCCTCAGTCACTGCTGCAAGTACCGAGCTACCAGACACTCCTATCTGCCCGAACTTTGCTCCTCAAATGCCGTGCTTCCCGGGTGCTCCTCCTTGGCCATACCCGTTAACCACAGTTCAATGGACCCCACCTGGTTACTGCCCTCCTCCTGGCTTTCCTATGCCGGTTTACCCTGCCCCTGCTTATTGGGGCTGTCCTGTATCTTGGGTGGGCCCGCCTCAGTACCAGCATCACACACCATCTACTCTGGGGAAGCATTCGAGGGATGAAAACATGGTGAAACCAGTGAACAGTGAGGAGGAACAGGGAGGTAAGAAAGGAAATGATCCGGAGAGGTGCCTGTGGGCCCCTAAAACCTTGAGAATTGATGACCCACAAGATGCCGCGAAGAGCTCTATCTGGGCTACTTTGGGAGTCAAAAAGGACAAAGTTGATTTGGTGGGCAGTGGTGGCATCTTCAAGGCATTCCATTTGAAAGATGAAGAGAAGACTGATTCTTCAGAAAACTCCACCGTTTTACAAGCAAATCCAGCTGCATTGTCTAGGTCTTTAGACTTCCATGAGAGCTCATAAGAATAAAGTTTAGTTTGGGAGGTCATAATTCCTCTCAAGAAAAGTAAGATCATAAGTATTATCTATGCAAGTTTTTACTTTTTAGTTCTTTCTCATAGAATGATCTAGAAGAGGATACCTGTAGTTCTTCTCTAGATCAGATAAGTCTGCACTAAGTTTTGTTTTCACATTTTTATTTTTTGTTTAATATTTTATTCATCTGATGTCTAGAAATTTTGTGTTTTTTATAGTTAGTTTATGTATATAGATGTATTTGGTATAGTGAGAGTTTTGTGCACTGAAAGTGCCACATGTGAACGTAGTAGTATGCGGATACTAAAAGGGTGTTTCCCTTGTATAATACTATATAATACCATTCATGTCTTATAGTCCTTGATCCATCTTGCCATATTGCAGCTCATTTATCAATTCTTGCTGAGATCTGTCCTAATTTATTACCAAAGGAGGATTTGTTCACTATGTTTAGGACAGGTTCTTTATGGCTATCAGCCTATCAGTCTTTTTTCATTAGCTGAATTACTGTGAACCAAATCAACCTGCCAACCTGCTAGAGTTGAGTCACAGTACCATGCTTCTTAATGTGGAAACTCAAAGGACGTTGTTGTCATTTTACTGGAAAGGTTAACCAATTGATGAAAGATGAGGTTTATTTTGGGACAGCTAAAAAGTGAAATTTATTGGATTAGGTTTGCATTTTGATCTTTACCGTTTGTGCAAGAGGACTCGGGCTTTTCCCAAAGTCCAGTTGGTCTTTTCTTTTTCTTCAAACACGTAATTTTTGATTTCATGTGCTGAATTGTGAAATAATAAGAAAAAGTAAGATTGAAGTTACTTTTTTGGTTGTATTGATATTTGACTGTAGTTATTGATCATTTTAGCTACTCCGTATTTTTTAATAGAATTTTTTATTGTATTAATTAATAACAAATGTTTTAAATACTTTTTTTTTTATAAATCAGTAGAATCAACAAATACAACCACTTCAACTAAAATTTCATAAATTTCAGCAGAATCAGTCAATTCAGCCAATTTCAGTGTTACCAAACAGGTTCTAAAAGTTCATTTTTTCTATATATTTGTATATAAAACATAGATTAAAATAGTATACACTAGGCATAAAAATATAGAGGAGACAAATATATTATTACAAAATAGAAAATTTCTTAATCACAACTTTTGAGTAATTTTTTTGACAATTTCTCTTCATATAACAAGGTTGTCTACAAGATACTCATCCTCTATTTTAGAGTCTTGTTTTTGTTGTTGTGGAAATTGATAGAGTCAATTACAAAAGCCGGATCAACTTGTTAATAAGAAAGTACACTTTTGACATTTTCATCTTCACTGATCCTTGTCAATGTTCACCAATTTTAGATGAATCCGCTAACTTGGAATGGTTTAAAATATTGAGCTTCTTATGTTGCAATTGGAATCTCAAGCCTACCTTCTCTTTCTCGATAAAATTGAGGGGCGAAAAATATTTATCCACTAAACAACAAATATCATCAATGTTGAAGGATTTATATGAATCTTTAGTATCCAAAATAGTTCTAAGAGTAAGGAGATTGAATGTCTGTTCATTGAATCTATTATTCAACTCCAACATATGTAAATCAAATGTGAACCCATGTTTGCGTAAAACGTGTCGATTTAACAATTTAACTTTGGGTTAATTATCAAAATAGGACTAAAAATCACTCACTTTGCACAAATAGGACAAAAAATAAACTATGTTTTCATAGGACTAATTATGTGTGTCTTGGACAAATATACCCTTATAGCTATTGAAATGTTTTAATTCATAATAAAATAATAAAAAATTATAAAAAATTCTTAAAAAATACTAAAAAATAAATAAAAATATTTCGATAATAATAATTTATTTATTTATTTATTTTCAAAAAATAAAAAAATTAAAAAAAATTAAAAAAAAAAACTCAAAAAAATAAAATAAAATTCACCGCCGCCTCTGCACCACCACCTCCAGTCACCGGGGGGAAAAAATGCCAAGTTCATTACGAATGCCATATTTATGGCAGAAAACAATGAAAATGTTGGCATTCTCAAAGAGATATGCCATGTTTTGGCATTTTCAGAAGAAAAAATGGCAATTTTTCGGAAAAGTGGCATTTTTTCACCGCCCGGAGATGGTGGTGCAGGGAGGTAGTACAGGCGGTGGGAAAGACATCCATATTTTTTTAATTTCTTTTATGGAGTTTTACTATTTTTATTAATTTTTTTTTTAAAAAAAATATATTTTTATTTTTTTATTTTATAAATATTATATAAATTTTTTAGTTATTTTTCTACGATTTTTTGAAATTTTTTCGAATTTATTATGAATTAAACATTTAATTAACTCATATTTAAAGGAAGGGTGAGAATGGAATGAAAAAATAGATATGTTTCCAATAGGACTAATATGGTCCTATTTTGAAAAGAAAAACATAGTAAACCCTATTTTGAGTTTTTGTCATAGTTTTAGTCCTATTTGGAATAATTTCTATTTAACTTTTTAGCATTAGAGTTTTTATACAAAGTTGGTTCTTTAAATTTAATATTATACGTAGTAAATACTTGAATAAATCGTATAAATATAATAAATGTTCAAAATTACTTGGTGTAATATTATTAAGTGTACATTTGTCATTTAAGTACCAATATATGTTTCATGATACTACCTCCTTTTTTAAATAAATACAACATTCAATTTTTCACATTTGTCAATACACAACTTTGACCGTTAATATATTTAATTATCTTTTAGTAAAAAAAATAAAAAAGTTTATATTTTGAAAATTTAGGATAAACAAATTTAACAATATATTTTTTAAAATAAATTACTAATATATTAATAAATAAAACATAATCAAAGTAAAATTTGTAAATAAAATAAAATTTCATAGGTTGCATTTATTCAAGAATGGGGGTAATATTTTTTTCTTTACTTTATTTGTACTCCCTATGTGTTTATCACTAGAGATATTTTCATTATGAGAAAACTATCAAATAAGCCCTCCTACTATAGTTGATTCGTCAATTAAGGCCTCGTACTTCCGAATCACCCAATTAAGTCCATGAAGTTTCAAAAAACACCCAATTCCGCTTATTAGGCGGTAAACACCCGGTTACCCCGTTGCTCGCTGACCTGATCCGACGCGGCGCTCACATGGCATGTGCACATGTGACAACTCACGTCATATCCCCCTTTCCCTCTTTTTTTTTTTTAATTTTCTTTCTTTTTCATCTTTCCCCTTCCACAACTCTTTCTTCCTCTGTCAAAGACCTGGTTAGAACATGGCAGCTTCTTCCCAACCATAAAAATGTGAGATTTGAAATTGAAATCTTGTAATATCCATTAAACAATCTACCAACGTCACCTATTTACATCCGATTGACATTTATATTAAGTATCTCAAGCTTCTACGGCCATTAATGGAGGGTGAAGCTGCTGCAGGCCAAGGAACATAACCGGCGAAGGTAACGAAAAATCTTCGATTAAAGGAAGTACCCACACTTTAATCTACTAGCTACGATTCTACCATTTATTAAATTAGTTTTCAAGTATGTATATCTAAAGATCCATACTAACTTGGGGAAAAAAGTACATATCCCGAATCCGGATCTCCATGAATGGAGTCTCCATCTCACCAAACTACCTCCACTGGTCCAATATAGATGAAGAAGGCTCCCGTCTTTCTTTTCCATCATTGTCATCGTTGTTTTCCTCCAACTCGACCAGCTTCTTATGTCGTTGATCTTGAAGGTCAACGACCATGGCGGGTTGACGGCCAATCGGTTACCCTGTTCACCGAAGAGTTGAGTTGAGTCTTCTACTTCCGCCATCATCACCGTTATGCTCCATTCAGCTTCAGCCTTCGTCGCCAGCATCTTGTACTTCAACCTCCTATCCCTACATTGCTTGCACTAACGTGACCCGAACGAAGAGATGAAAGGGAAGGGTACATAAGATTTGTACATGTCATATTTAGAAAAGAAAAGTGGGTTGAATTATTTTTTCCTAAAAAAAATAAAAAAATTAAAAAATTGACGCATAGACATTCACGTAAACTTTTGATCGGGAAACCGGGAGGTAACCTACTAAACGGCTGAATTGAACATTTTTTACATCTTCATGGGTTAATTGAATGATTTTGAATTACATGGATTTAATTGGGGTTTTAAATATAGTACGAGAGTTTTCTAAATATACCAACAAATTGACATAAAAAGTGTATGTTAATGCCATTGAACAGTAAATAATCAAGGTGACTTGTGAGTTGTGACTTGTGAGTATATAGAATTTTGCTCCGTGACTTTCTTGGGCACGTATGAAGTTGAAGTACTCATTTTCTAAACCCTAGCTTAGCTGTAGAACTTGGTGAAGGACATAACAATAAACACAGCAGTTCTGCCACTGAGGTAAGTTCTATTCGCATTCATTACCCCCAGATCTCAGCTAACCCGACGATCCATAACTCCCCGAAGAATCACTTTTCTGCTCCGCTAAAAGCTCTGTTTTTCATTTAACATCCCCATTTCTTTATTATATTGACGCTTTGCTTATGATTAGTATGTTCTACCTTAACGTACTGAGTATAAGTCAATTAATTGCAGCTGGATTAATTTAGCATTTTGTTATTGATAGAAAAAGACCATATCTTTTGGTCAAGATTGAGCTCAGTATGGCTGGCCAAAGGAGTAGCTATGGTAAACGTTCTAATTCTCAGACACAATCTGAGTATGCAGAAAATAAAAGGAGAAACTCTTTTGGGGGTGATAATAAAGAACGTACGTCCATTGATTCTGAGGACACAGTATATCGCTACCTCTGCCCTTTAAAGAAGATAGGAAGCATCATGGGAAGAGGGGGCGAAATAATTAAGCAATTAAGGGCAGAAACCAAGTCCAAAATAAGAATTGGCGAGACTGTGCGTGACTGTGATGAACGTGTAGTTACTATCTACAGCTCCAGCGAGGAAACTAATGAGCTTGATGGAGGTGGTGAAGGCCTTGTTTGTCCTGCCCATGATGCACTTCTCAAGGTTCATGATCGAGTGGCATATGAGGAGACTGGAGTTGATGATCAGTACTCTGGGGAAGAAGGTCCACAAGTGACTGCTAAGCTACTCGTACCGTCTGATCAGATAGGATGTATTATCGGGAAAGGTGGACAGATTGTTCAAAGTATTCGTAGTGAAACGGGTGCTCAGATTCGCATTTTGAAGGATAAACATCTTCCCGCGTGTGCCCTTGACTCAGACGAACTACTGCAGGTAATCATGATGCCCAACTTCATCCGCCTTTTCATTTGATCTTGTTAAGCAATCTCATATAAAATTATATCACAAATGAAAATATACAGTCTTGGACTACTTTGGGTTTATGATAGAATCAATGTCATAATAGGGCAATATGGTATATTGGTAGATGAGCACAGTATGATTAAATGACTAATTCCATCCTCAGCCTAATAATAAGAGCACCCATACTTTTACTCATGTTCACTCTTAGAGCTCAACTGTTTGCAAACATGTCAAGTCATCTTAGATCAAACAAATATTTAAAGAATAGTAACACATAATCACCATGGTCTACTCCTTCTGTTACGTGCAACTTTTATTTATTGGAACAACCAGCCTTAATAGATCTTTCAAATCGTCTGTGTTCGCTTTTATTTGGTATGCAGCGCTCATCGCTTTTCAGTTTTGACGAGTGATATATAACTATATAAGTGTTCTTAACTTACTCATTTGTTTGTTTATTTAATGTTTCGGTATTAGCACTGGGTTCTATTATTTCTTTTCCAATTTAGTGTTAGTTTCAGTGAAAGTTTCAAAATAGAGCATATTTAACAGCTTACTTATTTATGGTTTTATTGGGTATCAGATATCTGGAGAAATGCATGTGGTGAGCAAAGCTCTATATCAAGCCGCAAGTCGGCTTCACAAGAATCCATCTCGATCTCAACACTTGCTTGCTTCATCTGCTTACGCACCTGGTGGTAGTTCACTGATGGGCCCCAGTCCAACTGCTCAAATAGTGGGACTGGCACCACTAGCGGGCCCTTATGGCAGTTACAAAGATGAAGGTGGAGAATGGCCTCCAAGGTCTGTATACGCAGCTCCTAGACGTGACTCGTCTCCAAAGGAGTTTATTCTACGTCTGGTATGCCCAAATGCAAATGTTGGAGGTGTAATCGGAAAAGGTGGGGCAACGATCAACCACATAAGGCAAGAGTCTAGGGCATCTATTAAAGTGGATAGCTCAATTGATGAAGGAGATGATTGCCTGATAGTTATTTCATCAAAAGAAGTAAACTTTCTTGTGTCCCATGACTCCATGTATAGTCCCCCTATCCCTTTTTAGTTAGCAATCTTTGACTTTTCTAGTCAATAATGCTTAAATTTGACTGATATTTTTTTTATACGGTAGTATTTATTATATAAAAATTATACGAAAATATTCCTTGTTACAAATATTGCCATAAAGGTGTAAAATATATAGATTTCGCAAAATATAGTAGTTATAATGATTGAGCAAAGTTTACTATCATTAACTAGAAAAGTCAAAGATGACTAACTAAAAAGGGACGGATGTAGTATGTTTTGAATACAAATAATTTAATTTAATTGTTACAGATTTTTTTGTAATGCTTTCGAGCAGATTTTTGATGACACATACTCTCCAACAATAGAAGCGGCATTGCTCTTGCAACCCAGGTGCAGTGAAAAAGTGGAAAGAGATTCAGGCCTTTCTGTATATACCATACGCTTGCTTGTACCAAGCTCTTGTATAGGCTGTCTTATTGGGAAAGGTGGGTCCATAATTAATGAGCTTAGGAGAATCACCAAAGCTAATATTCGGGTCCTTTCGCGTGAAAGCCTTCCCAACATTGCTGCTGAAGATGATGAGATGGTCTTGGTAAGCATGCTCGTGTATTTCCTTCTAAAAAGATAAAGACATGCCTATATATATTAGTCAGTTATTATATGTCAAAATACCTATCATGAACATTTTATCCTTGAAATATACTTCCTCTGTTCAGAAAAGAATGCAGCATACAAATGGACACAGAGATTAAGAAACTCAGCCATAGACATTTTCTTCCTATCTTACCCTCCCTTTTCTGAACTTTTGTCTGACAAATGCTGGCACCGTCTCTTTCCTTCAATTTCCCAAATTTTTCATCACCATTAATTCGTGTTAAAATCCTCCCTGTGTTGCTTACCTTCTTTGTCGTCTTCATAAGCAAACCAAGAACTAGAGTACAGCTAACTTAATTATTTTACTTTCAATTTCCGATTTCTTTAATTCCATAATCTAGATTATGAATCTCCCTAAAAAGTACTGTAACTATGACTTTTTAAGATCCTTTAAAGAAGTGAGCCATGCTGTTAAGGATTTTAGAGTGGATCTCCAAAGAAAGCCAAAAAGATGAAAAGAAAGAAGGTAGTGGAGGAAAGAAACGAAAGAAGAAAAATGAGTGAAAAAAACAGTGAGATTGGGAGATACAAAAATGACGAAGGCTGATGGGGGAAGGGAAGAAATGAGAAACTGAAAAAGAAAAAACATAGATGAACACATTCAACACATGAGTGTTGACTGTTGAGTTGGGCAGATAGTGTGTAGTGACGCGTGATTGATAATATTTGGTGAGAGAGCGAGGATACTGATTTGGGGTGAAAGGGTATTATAGTCATTATGGTGGGATTTATTGATAAAACACTGTTAGTTATTTAATATTACCATAAATGGAAGTGTTGCAATTATTTTGAAAGTGCCTGATAAACACTGTTAGGAATAGTATATAGAAGCTACACGTACATTACTTTGTAATGTACGTGTAGAAAGCCAAAAACCCACAGGTTCCGATTCTGGGCTCTGATACCATATTAGAAATGGAGCAAGGTAGAAGAAGAGAGTGAAATCATCTTATTGAAAAATAGAAAGTGTACAGAGTATTTATAGAAGCTATGGTTGTAACTAACTGCAGCTAATATAACAGAAGCCCAACTAATACTAATTACAAAGTAATGTACGTGTAGCTTCTATATACTATTCCTAACAAACACTACTCAAGAACACAGTAATAACTCAATATGGTGGGATTTATTGATAAAACTCCAAAGAGAATATTACCCGAAATAGGACTAAAACAGTTTGAAAATTCCAAAATAGGACTGTCATGTTTTTATTCCCAAAATAGGATTAATTACTGTCATGTTTTGGCAGTACCAGACTTCAAACATGGCAGTAATTAGTCCTATTTTGGGAATAAAAAACATGACAGTCCTATTTTGGAATTTTCAAACTGTTTTAGTTCTATTTCGGGAACTTATCGAAGTCTGGGAACAATGAAAGATGAAAGAACAAAATAGCTGAAAATAAAATTGAGATCTTTCGAGAGGATCCCGCTCTCCCAGTTCCGATCAATTCCACGATACCCGTTCCCCTCCTCTTCCGTCTCTTTTTATTCTTTGTGCCCTTTCCTTTTGACTATTCAACTTCAGCCAGTCTGTTATTTTCTGCTTCCCCTTCATTACTATGGTCTTTTACCTTTTTGCCCCTTCTTTTATAAACTTGGGAGAAATCCCTGTTGGGGTTTATTTGGAATGAGGTAGTACTCGTATCATTGCCAAAAGAGGAAAGTGTTGCATTTAATTAAGAACAAAGGAAGTACTACAAATATGTTTCTAGTGCTTGTAGTTTCATATTTTTGTTTTTTCTCTTAGAGATAGGGCCTATTCTTTTGGACTTAATTCCTAGACCAAAACAGACAGGACCATCATTACTTAATACTACGTACTTCCTCCATTTTCTAATAGTTGTAAGTTGTAACATTGTAATTCTTACACTATTCACATACCTTGCTTTGACCATGAATTTTAACTAATACGGAGTATATATAATGATATTATTATGTATGAATATTTTGAAATTTCTTTTAATGTGAATTTCCATAATATCAACTTTTTTATAATATTCACTAATACGTAATTAAATATAATTACGATCATAGTTGTACATTGGCATTTGGTAAGTGTGAAAGTCAAACTGTTGCAATTAATAAAGAACGGAGGTAGTAATGTAGTATTATATTATTGTAATATTGATATTTTTACTAGAACTTTAATTTTATTATTATGAATAGTATTATTAATAAAACAACAAAACAACTAATGTTATAACAATTTTCATTTAATTATCACTGATACTATCAGAATCATTGTCATTATTGTTAAATGTTAATATTAATATAAAAACTAAATCACTTATTAAGATTTTCAATATTGATGATATTATGATTTCATATACGGAGTAATGATTAATGTTGTTTAAAAATGGCAATGTTCAAAGAGAATACGATTAACTTCGTTTTTAAATGATTGTATGAACAATACTTTTTGTGATATACATTACTTAGGCGGTATAAGAACACATTTGTTTCTTTTTAAATTAATCTTTTATAATGTTACTGTTATTATTAGAATATATTATTATTTATTATAGTTATCATTATAAAATTTAAATATAAACAAAAGGGTTTGTTTATTTAATAACTCTATGCATGATATATTAGATGATTATTAAAAATATTCAATATGAACTAATTATGAAGTACATCACATAATAATATCAAAACATTAAAACCAGACTAGAAAAAATTTGTCATATCTGTTGGGCCGCGGGCCGCGGGGTATGCGGTGCCAGCAATCTGTCAGCCTGCTGGTGTAAAGGGGAAAAGAAACGTGGCGCTTCGCTTGTGTTATAAAGGGAAAGGAGCGTGCTACACTATCAGCAATTGCTTTTAGAGTAGCGGTAAGCGCAACGATCCACAAGTGGTATCAGAGCCAAGGTCACGGGTTCGACCCCAGCGACAGCATGCCATCAATCTGCCAGCCTGCCGGTGTAAAGGGGAAAAGAAACGTGGCGCTTCGCTTGTGCTATAAAGGGAAAGGAGCGTGCTACACTATCAGCAATTGCTTTTAGAGTAGCGGTAAACGCAACGATCCACAATATCTTTTACTGGTCAGACCAGATTAGAAAAAACCAGTTCTAGTCTCCTAGAGAACACGCATTTTATCCCGGTTTATTCCTCTGATTTGATCTGGTCTTCAACTTTTTATGGGACTCAATATAGTCCTAATCTGGCCGTCTTGTATATATGGTTCTACACAAGTAGAGTATTCTTGTTGATTTCACTAAATTAGTAAATATAGACCCAATTTAAGATTCATGTACAGTTGAGTGGTCCTTAACTGTGTAATTTGGATCCAATTTAGTAATTAGATAATTACTTTTCTTGATTAAAGCAAAACATGCATGAAGACTAAGGATGTTTTTAATTGGACTTAAATTTTCTGGTCTAGCATGTTTAAATCTAGTCTGGCCTGTTCGGTTTAAATCTAGTTTGGTCTGGTCTCAGACTGAAACCAATCCAACTAAAAACTTCCTAACTTAAGTGTAAATTATAGATTAATGCATCGGATTGAGTCCAAAGTCAAGGACCATAATGATTAATCATTAATGGCATAAAGTCAGATTAAACCAGGTGCCAAGTCTTTTTAGTATTATTATTATTCCATGAAAACTATTTTTCTGCTAGATTTCTGGAGAGCTTGATGTATCCAAGGATGCACTTGTTCAAGTAACATCACGCTTGAGGGCCAACCTTTTTGAAAGGGAGGGTGGTGTGTCTGCTGCTTTTGTGCCTCTTCCTTCATATCTAATGCCAATAGACCCCCCCGATAGCTTTACAAAGTATGAAAGCAGAGATTCTGGAAGGCACGGACGTGGTCATTCCTCTTATTCTTCTGGTTATGGTAGTGCGCATGACATGCCTCCCACTGATGGCTATGGAAGTTATTCTACTTTTCAGGTAATTATGAATTTATGGTTCATTTTAAAATTTATATATAGCAAAACATTTCTTGCGAACATTATCTCGGGCATTCATTGTTCTCCCTAACATGTATAACTGTATGTATTTGCTCCCCGTTGTTATGAAACATTTATATATCCCTTTCAGAGTACAAGCAGTCCTAGATATGGAGCATATGAAGGATATTCTGTTGGTCGTTCTGGGTGAGTTATATAATTACCTTATGCTATCACCCCTAGATTTTGATTTTGGGGAGGGGGGAACATAAATCCAGGAAGTCGATATTCATTTGCTAGTTATTAAAATTGGACTCTCTCTCCATAAGCTACATGTTTTCATTAAATATTTCGTTAGATTTTCTGATTTTGCAATGCAATCTTGTGTTATCAGGACGCCTGAGCCAAACACTCCTTCACATAGAAAAAGTTATGGCTACTAAATTTTCTGAGTGGAGCTGCACTTGGTAACGTTCCAATCCTTGTTTGCACTTTCCATATCATTGAGGGTCCGTTTGGAACCCTGAAATACAGGGGAAAGAAACAGGAAGAGATTTAAGAACATAATCCAAAATCTCAAAGGAAGAAAATATTGGGGAAATAAAATGCCAAATAAACCTCGATCTATTTTAGATATATGTACTATTTATTTATTTATTTATTTATTTATGTTCTACATAAACTAAGTGTAAAAACTTCCATTTTGTATGATAATATTTTATTTTACGTATTCCAGTGGAAAACAAAACAGTCAAAAACTAATTTACCCAGCATTTTATTTCATTGCCCTAAAATTTTCTAGGCTCCAAACACAGCCTTATTGGATAATTGATCATATTCCCAATCACCTGTACTCATAATAAATTTGTAACAGTATACTTGCGTATTGGTATCCTTCAACCCGCTTACCCAATTATGGAACTGATTTGGTTTGTTTCCCTTTTTCTTCCCATGTTTTTAAGAAAACAGCTGATATACCTGAAAGCTCGAGAAGCCAGCCCTGCCCACCACTGCCTTGTTCGAAAGCCTCCTCTCTATCTAAACCAAAAGACCTGATGAATGAGGGGGACACTCATGTTGCTTACCTCCTATATATCTGAAGGCCAAATATCTCATGCTCTTTATCTATACTAATTTAAAAACCATATCCATGTTTCCAAGCTTTGATCTGACGTGCTCTCATGAACCTTGTATACCCAGCAAGCCTATGACCACTCTTTCCTTATTTGGTGATTTGATTAGATGTATCCATGTTTCCAAGCATTTTTTCATGTATTGTGCTAGAACTCCCCCAATGTTTCTGGTATTATCAATCATTATTATTACTATTATAGTTATCGATATTGTTGTTGTTATTATTATTATTATTACTACCATTGTCATTATTATTTGTGTTAAAGACTTCTTAGTGTTGATTATTATAGAGAAGATGTGGTGTACTGCTAATGTGAGAAGCGATGAATATGCAGCTTATGAGATATTGACAAGATATGATGCATGCTTATATTTGGTATGTTCATCACATACTATTATATATGTGCACATCAGCACATGTACATACATCTGTTCATTATTTAAATTTTAAAGCATGGGTTTGGGACGTTTGGCCTGAATCATCACAACGGTCATTTTTTTTGGGCCAAAAGAGCCGTCAGGCTGGGCTCAGCTGGGACTACCCAAACGGCTATATAGCTGTTGGGTGGGCTGGCAGAGGGGTCCAGGCAGTTTGGGGGTGGGGGTGGGGTACAAAAATTTCTATAAATATTCATATTTTCTAACATTTTTATACACATCTTCAATATCCAATCTCCATTCACCATTCATCTCCATCTATTCTAGTATTTATAGAATTATTATATATACCATTTTTAAGATGGAAAGACAATATGCCGTTAGCGCGTATAATTTTTATACGCAGAAGGATCCGAGGACTGGGATGTGGTACGAAACTTGCAAATGGTGCGGGAAAAAAGTGTAACTTGGGGGTTTCACGCGGATACGGGATGGTCAAGAAGCACATTAAGTCATTTGACAAAGCCAAAGGATCGAGAAATTCCGATTGATTACAAAATGTATTTCATATTGTATTTTTTTCTCAATTGTCAAATGTAGTTCCTATTTCATTTCAAATAAATGCACTTGAAGTTTGTTTTCAGTACTTGTATAAAACTATAAAGTATAAATAAGTAAAAAAAATTGGATTTACCCAGCTCGGCGGGTGGCCCGACCTGTGATTCGGACGGGTGGCCCGGCCTGAACTGAAACTGGCCTTACCTCAGGTCCGTCCCGGGCCCATCAATTATAAACCATAGGCCCGGCCCCGGGCCCGAACCGGCCTGAATCCACCACTACTTGAACAAGCTTACCGTCTGAATTTTACAAAATTTCTGTAAGAGTTTTTGACGTTTTCAGACTTTCAGTCTGATGTGTCAGTGACACTTTTGGTACTCAATTTTTCATTTTTAGTCCTCAACTATTGTGCGAGAGACACTTTTAATCCTCGACTTCAAAGTTTCCTACATTCAATTCTTTGAATATTATCAAATTGGCACTTTTAGTTCTTTCACTATGATTTTGATACAATAAGTGGAAGATTAAAATGTCATTACTATAATAGTTGAAGAGCCAAAAATATCACTTTTATGAAAGTTAAATGGCTAAATATGAAATTTTTTAAAGTCGGATGTAAGTGTATTTCACAACACAATAGTCGAAGGATTAATAGTAGAAATATTCAAAGTCGGGTACCAAGTGTCACTAACGTCATAGCCGGAGGATTAAAAGTGACAAAAACTCATTTTCATAATTACATTCTTTGTTTACCTTTATTCACTTCTCCTGTTTATGTGGGAATTGAAAATAGAATTGAGTGGTTGAGAACTTGAGATGTATTTTAAAAGAAATGAGAAAAGAGGTAAATAAGCCCACTAACTATTAGCAATTACACTCTCAATTCATTGAAAATTAAGCAATTAGATTTTTTTACTCTGGTATCGATAATTTCTCATGAAAAAGTTATCTTCTTACCTGCATTAGTAGATAAAAAAGATTTGATTGCTTAATTTTTTACGAGTTGAGGATGTATTTTCAAGTCTTTTGGTTCAGGGGCTTGAATGCAAAATTGCTAATATTTTGAAGGCTTATTTATCTCTTTTCTCACATTCTTTTGGAAATAAGGCTTGAATGTTGTAGTTTTATTCTTTCATGGAAAAGGAGACTTAAGTAGTGTGAGTATGTGTCTTTTACTTCTACGTTTATTCTTTAATGAGGAAAATTTATTTTGAGGTTTATGAAGCCAAATTTGGAGTTTTTTTCAAAATTATTATTAAAATAAAATTCATTTACACAAATATGACTAATAGTTGCTACAATGTTGTTTCATGGTAAGTTAAGTTTAAGAATTGAGCATAAGTTACTATGATATCATTAATACACCAGTCGCAGTAAATTTAGTCACCTAACTCAACACTACTTGGGAATGAGTGAAGTATGCACATAAATAAATGAGTATTAGGCATTTGTTGAAGGAAATTTTATGTAGTTTACTATCGTGTATATAAAATGGGTGCGTTAGGAAATAAAGCGATTTTATTCAAAACGCCAGTTTTTTACACATGAAAGGCTGCTAATTGCAGCGTTTGAGGGAGAAAACGCTAAAAAACAAACAACCACAATTATATTCGGATCATTTTATAGGCTTCATTGGCTCATCTCTCCAAACTCTAATATCTCCCTATTTATAGGGATTTTAAAAACGAAATTACATAAACATTCTCCCTACAAGAGCATTCATTTATTATGGTTGTTCTCCGACTTTTTAGAATAAAATGAAGCTACAAGTGGCTAATGATTTGAAAAATAGATACAAAAACAGAGTAGGTGTATAGTATATACAACTTTAAATAGGTGTGCTGAAACTAATGTTACATATTTGTATAAATAAAACAGAGTAGCATTTGATGTCTTTAAAAATACTCGTGCATATTTGTTCATACTTCGGTATGTTGTATTAGGGATAGATCCAGTTTTGGTCCGTTTCGGTTCTGGTCCTGAATTAGCTGGTCTTTAGAAAAATATATGGAGGCTCAAGACTGGGACTTCTATTATGGATTCCCGACCGGTTGCCGTCCCCAATTGGCCTTGGTCCGGTTCCGACTTCCGAGACATGATTCTTCTCAAGACACGGTTCACTTCTTTGATCAATTAGTGTGGCAAGCTTGCCGAGCAACTGGAGATATACAGTTACAGGTTGAAACTTGAAACTGTTCACATTCTTATAAGAGAAAAGTGGAGAACTTAAAGTTAAATGAGAGATCTAGGCTGTGAGATGGCAGGCGTACGGGATGGAGACTTGATAGGGAAATATCTTCAAGAATAGACAGTGGACAGTCATATCCACCCATGTTCTGCTGATCCTTTGGTCATTACACACAGTGCAAAACCACACACCCCATAAGACTCTACCTGCCCGCCCCTTTATTAATCCTTTCTCCACTCCTTATTCCATAGCCCTTCCATCAACTAGCTACTCAATGTTTGTGTTCTCACAAAATAGGCCAAGCATTGACTTTTTTCATGAGAAGTCTTGCATGTGGGAGTGAGGGTGGGGAATGCAGCCAAGGATGACTTGCCGGTTGGCTTAGCGCCTAGCAGGTTCTCATATATGATTTAAGTCAGTAATATATGGAATAGCTATAAATGATAAATGGCGGCAAGTCATTCTTGGCTACATTTTTTCCTCATTCTCTCATCCGAGACTGCCTTCTTATGATGATCACCAACCAAACTCTAGCTTCCACTCGCCAGACAGCCGAAAATTCACTCCATGTTAAGGTGACCATCTTTCACGTTTCCTAAAGTTTTATGTTAAGGGAGTAGATTTTTTAAATAACAGTTATATTTTTAGTGTGTTGTACTTTGCATCACCATGTGATGAGTTGCAGTTGGCGTGGGTAACAATAAACGCTCAACTTCAACTCATCTCATACCGAAGGCAACTATACTAGCTTTTTCTAGCCCTGTTCACTTGACCAAAATGTAGCAGAACTAATGAGTAAAATACTGGAAATCTGGAATTAGAACTCAAAGTAAAATTAGGCCAGCAACTGGAAGAACATTTGAACCACAAAAAATTTCTCACTATATAACGGAGCATTAATAAAGTACTATAGCAGATTACCTGCAAATTTGAAGTTCATGCTATTGGTAGAACATAGAGCAGCAAAACAGAAGTTTCTGCATTTGAAAGGATTTATGAACAAAGTACATTAAGACGTGATTTCCTTCAAAATATCACATTGTAAATATGCAAGTAATGAATATGCCTCTTTAAAAGGCAAGTTATTTTTTATGAACACTCATGGTTTTTGTCAAGGGTTAATTAGGGTACACTCGGAAGTACTAACTTTAACCGTACAATGACAAGGCCTTTTTCCATGCATATTACTAAATTAAATTCAAAAGACAAAAATATGACTTATTTTAAAATTTTCCAAAGAAGTGACATATTTAGTAACTAGTTCACTGTGACCCGTCATTACAGTGACTTGTCATTCTAAAATACACTATAGTGACTAGTCATATTTTTGTCCGAAAACATAACTAGTCAAATTTTTGTCCGGAGAAACTCTATTAGTAATATACATGTCATTTTTTCTAATGACAATATCGTGACTCAATAATTACTCTAAAGTTAACATGCAATCACTTTACTTTGAGTCCTTGACCACACAAGGATACACTTAAACTCAAGAAAGTTACAATGGTTAGAAAGTGATGTAGGTATCTTCAAGGGTATTATGGTCATTTCATAATTTTTACTCCTAAAAAATGAACAATAAGAATATGGTTCTATATATGGACTGATGGAATATATTATTTCAAAGTCGATTTCCTTTTTTGTATAATACGGATTAGAATGTTTGACATAAAAGGTACAAAGAATGACGAAGAAACAAAAAATCCAGTGTCAAGAATATACTCTCCACGAAAATATTTTCCTATAAACAAATAGAGCCTGAGTCTGGAAAAAAATGTATCTTAACTTTGTTTTGTCACTAGCTACCTTATCTTTTGGAAGAGGGCCTAATTTAAGAAGTTGAATCAATCAAACAAGAAGTCAAGAAAAACTTTTTTCTCCTCTGCTTCAACCAGACTAGAACCAGGTTCTTTCCAAACTCCACAAACATCCATCTCCTTCCTCACCTTCTCAGCACCTTCCCACTCACCCCGTGAAGCGTATATGTTAGAAAGCAACACATAATCACCACTCTCACACACTCCTGATTTTTTCAGATGCACATTTGCAAGCCTACCCAACTCAGCCTGACCATGAACCTTACAAGCTCCTAACAGATTTCTCCAAATGATGTCATTTGGTTCAATCTCCATTCTATGAATGAACTCAAAAGCTTCATTCAACATCCCTGCACGCGACAGCATGTCGACCATGCATCCATAGTGCTTCATATTTGGCTTTATGTTATACTCAGCTCTCATAATTTTGAAGTACTGTTGACCATCTTTGACTTTTCCCGAATGACTGCAAGCTACTAGTACCCCAATGAAAGTGACTTCGTTGGGTTTGAGCTTCAGTCTCCTCATCTCTTCAAAGAGAAGGATTGATTCTTCAGGATGGCCATTGATGGCTAGGCCTCTTATTATAAGATTCCAAGATGAAACATCTTTTTCATTCATACTGTGAAACACTTGAAGTGAACTCTTGATGCTCCCACACCTGGCGTACATATCTATTAGTGCATTTCCTAGAAAGATGCTTAATTCCTCTTTATTTATCATCTTTGTGATTGAGAAATGTATCTTTTCACCAACATCCAGAGATCCTGAATCTGTGCAGGCTGACAAAAGGCTCAACATGGTTGCCTCGTCGGGCTGTTCCCCTGCCTTCCTCATTCTGTTGTACATCTCCAATGCCTGTTTCTGCTGACCAGAATGGACATAGCCAGAGATGATTGTGTTCCAAGTCACGACATCCTTCATTGGAACCATGTCAAACAAATCTCTAGCGCTATCCATCTTCCCCTGCTTCACATATCCGGTAATCATCACATTCCAAGATACCAAGTCCTTCATTGGCATTTCATCAAACAGCTTCCTTGCAACCTCCAACTCCCCTCTCTGGGCATAGCCTGCTGTTAAAGCAGACCAAGCAACTACTTCTCTCACTGCAAAACATTCAAAAAGCCATGTCGCGATCTTTAAGTCCCCGCAGTTTGAGTGAAAATATATGAGGGAATTCCTAGCATGCATATTGGATTCAAACCCATGTTTTACAATCTTACCATGGGTTGCAAACCCGGTTTTGACCCATGAAAGCCGGGTGCATGCCTTGAGTAGGAAAGGAAAGGTATAACTATCCGGGCACACGTAGCTTTTCTCCATCTTTGCAAACAGTGGAACGGCAAGCGATGGTCTGGGGCTCTGAGCAGAGCCTCTGAGCATTGTGTTCCACATGAAGAGGTCTGGTTCGAGAATTTGGTCGAACAGTTTGTGGGCATAGTGAATTGAAGTCGAGAGAACCACGGCAGAGACGTAAACGAGTTCTCGGAGAGCGGAGCGGTTGGAGTTGAACCCATTTATGATTAGCCGAGCATGTATTCGCTTTAAAGTTCTGAAGTCCTTGCAGCTTCGGATTCGCCATGTTGTCGGACATTGTTGGAAGCTTGAACTCCCGTTTGTTATGGCCGTTCTGGTCATTTACTGGTGAACTCCCCCTCTCTCATCTTACTGCGGTCCGCCGATTAAGAAATAGATAGCACATGGCGAACGCCGCACCTTGCTCCAGCACTCCGGCCAGAACATGGATAACCATCCTTATTCCAGCATTGTAAGGATAACCGTCACTCAATGCACCTGTACTCTTTTTTAGCCTACTATCCCGTCGACTAAGAGAGAAGGCCCTGGAAATTACATCCCACATCAATGAACCAAGCCTAAATGTTCCCTTATCCAATGATGCAAAAAATAAAAGTAGGGCAGAAGAGTCACCATTGGCTCACCCTTACCAGTTACCATAACTTAGCTGAGGATAACCCCTCCCAAAATAACTATATAGAGTATCAAACCAGTCAACCTACTAAATCTCTCACCTATCATGAACCTCAATTCAACCTCTAAATAGCTTTGAAGATAATGATTTCGACAGCCTATCTCTTATAGATGTAAGAATTGAAAAAAAAAGATACATCCATTAGTGAGGCTCCTAGCACTTATAACACATTATGTTGTGAGGATGTAAATTGAAATATAATTACAATCTCACAGATAAAGAGTGAGGTTCTGTTCCCGATGATCTCAAGCAAAAAAAACGAGTCACCAACAACAAATTACGTTGGGAGGATGTAAATTGAAATATAATTACAATCTCACAGATAAAGAGTGAGGTTCCGTTCTCGGTGATCTCAAGCAAAAAAAAAAGAGTCATCAACAACAAATAGCTTCGATTCAGGTGGCACAAACCTATACCAGAGGATATACTTCACATATACTAAGGAGCAAAGCTAAGGCTGGACAAACAGAGATTGAGTTCTACGTCTATCCGGAAGAACACAAATGTGAATCGCCTCAGAAATTAGTGCAAAGTTTGGCTTGGTATAGTAGATCACATCCTCAGAAAAACATCTATCCTACATATATTCAAAGAGCGATTAAATTTCATCACAAATACAATAAAGACTTATCTATGCCGGCGGGCTTGTCACTTCCAGATTCAACACCTAAATTACAATAAAGTATAAAACCACTATCTTACAATTAAATTAAAGTTGTCAATCCCATATACATAGTAGTATTTTTGGCCTCACATCCAACAAAGATTAAAAGATGAGGAAAATCGGGAGGCTTAAAGCAAAGAACCTTTTGTGTAAGGAAGGAAATAAAGACTTCGGACTTAAGAGTAACAAACTAACAAACATAATATTGTTGGAATAAACTACTATCTGCTTCTACTCAAAATTGAAATCCCAGATGCAATGGAATACTTTACATCTGAATTTGGATGTTTTGGCAATACTAAGTTAATCAGCAAAACTTATAACATAGATGAATTACTTCAATTAATCAAAACCAAAAACAAAACTAATGAGAGAATTCCTTGATTCACACACCATCATCAATATTTTGCTAAGAAGCACATGAACTTCCCGCAGCTCAAGTTTAACGTTTCGGAAACTTGAAAGCCTATTAGAGTTTTTATTTTGTACTCTCTCTGTCCCTAAAAACTTTGTCAACTTTCCTTTTTTGGATGTCCCACTAACTTTGCCACTTTCCCTTTTAAATAAGGAATTTGTGGTTCCACTTAATTTTCTCTCCTCTACACAAACTTCAACCACACATTTTTTATTTTATTAATCCTCGTGTCGGTCAAACTTGCCAAAATTTTAAGGGACTAAGGTAGTATTCAAATAGTACACATCACGTCAATGAAACGATTACATTGGGTGAAGGGATCAAATATAGAGTCGTTTGATAATTCACACACTAATTGTGTAATAATCAAAATAAATAAGATTGATGTTTTTTCCCAATTGAATTGACTTAAGCTAGTGTAGAGGGTCGGTTTATATATTTTGATATTTTTTTATTGAATTAATAAACTATATTTTAAATATAATTTTCTACTCCCTCTATCCCTTAAAACTTTGTCAATTTTGACTAGCACGTGGATTAATTCAGGGAAATTGCTATAAATAGGAGTAATTAAGGTTTGAAATTCCAAAATAGGACTACAATGTTTTTCTTCGAAATAGAAGTTGTTACTGCTATGTACTACCTCCGTTCTCAAATAAATGCAACACTTTGACTTTTACACTATTCACATGTTCTACTTTGACTACGTTTTATTAATTAATGTAATAATATTATTTTATGAAAAAAATATTGTTAAACTTGTCTAATTGTAAATTTTCGTAATCTAATTCTTTTAATTTTTTTACTAATACAAAATCTATATATATTAATGGTCAAAGTTGTGTCTCGGCAAGTGTGAAATGTTGACTGTTGCATTTATTTAAGAACGAAGGAAGTATGAAAAATGCTGTCATGATTGAAAAATACTATCAATAATTATAATAAATACTGCAATGTTAAATGTATTGTACTGCAACTATTTGACAGTCACGCCTACAAGATGATAGTAAATACTAAATATTGTCATGTTAGTCTTATTTCGGGAATAAAAACATAATAGTCCTTGATAGACTATAAGTCTAGAGAGAAGTGAGAGCTAGAGAGAGAAGTAGTATAATTGCTTTGTATTAATGAATTGTGAACCCCTACAACTACTCCCAGAGGGAGTATTTATAGGAAAAATTAGGGTTGGGCTCCCAAGTCTTGGGCTTGGGAGACCCATTTACAATAGGGCCACTAATGGGCCGGATACAAAGTGCATAGAAAAGATTAAGTGTAAATCCTGTTCTGGAGGTTGCCTATGGCCGACGAGGGCATGACCGACGAAGACCCGGCCAACGAGGTCACCCGGCTCTTCCTGGCTTCTGGATCACATTCTGAGTAGACTTCTTTCTGGTCGATGAGGGTCATCTGGCTGACGAGTGTCCCACCAGGTGGTCGTGGTACCTTCTGTTCTTCCGAGTATGTGGGCCATGGGGTCTAGGCCCACATACTTCATCAAGAGTCCCCCACTCTCTGGGCTGAGATGTAGACGAAGTGAGGGAGAGTAGATTTCCTGTTTCTGACATTTTCTTACCGTTGTGGGACCGCTATGGGGTTTTCCCTGCTTTGGCCGTTATGAGCACCCTTTGCTCTGGTTTTTGTGTTTTGCACCGTTATGGGCACTTTGTGTTCTATTCGTTGCGTGGCCCTTGGTGTGGACGAAGAGTGTCACTTTGTTTGGGGACGATGAGTGTCCTTTCGTTTCCGGGTGGCCGGTGAGGGTGCTGTTTGCTTTCTATAGCCGTTGACTGCATTCTGTGTTTTTTGGCCGGAGCGGTGATATCCGTAGCCCGGCGCTCACGCTTTTGAGGACGATAATGACACTGATCCGGAAGGAGTGGTGCGTGTCCTGATCTTATGGACGATGGTGATTCAAGTACGTTGAGTTCCTGTTCTTTGATTCCTGACCGAGAGTGGAGTATGCAGGTTCTAAGCCGTTGAGTGCCCTGTGATCTTTGGAGGGAATTCTCTGTTCGCTGACGATAGCTGCGGCCGATGGTGCACCACAGGGTTATGAACGTTGTGGTGCATATGTGATCTGATGTTGTAGTTGTGGACTTAGCATATTTTTTGATTTCTTTGATTTTGTCTAGATCCCAAAGGTCGGTGTAGTCCCCCAGTCCCCCACTACTTCAGGCCGAAGAGTAAGCGAGGGGTGAAGGAGTAAAGGATTTTCCTGGACCGAAGCGGATTCTTGCATTCCCCTGAATCCAATTCCTTGGCGATTTCCTGACCAAGGTAACCCTGTGGGAGAACCCTTGGATGCAGGTCGCTTTCGAGATATTATCATCAGGGTTTTACACAAGGCCGATGGCGTGGGGTTTCTTTTTGCTTTGCCCTTGTGGCCGTTGAAAAGGCCATGATGTTGGCATTCTGTTTAAGCCGATATGGACACAACTTGAGATGTGACCTACCCTTTTGAAGTCATCTGTGTTGAGACCGATGTAGGCGCGCTTTCTTAGATTGGCCGTTGCGGGCGCTGATTTCTGGCATGTTGGCGATGGGCTGGTATTGTGGAAGTGGGCCTGACCCGCCTTCTGAACCGGTGCCAGCCCAATGGGCCTTGGGGTGGTGGCCGTTCATGTGGCCAACGGGAGGTTGCCACGTGTAGTGACCATTGGGGGGTCTATAAATACCCCCTCCCTCCGAAGAGGCTCCTCATTGCATTCCTGAGATAACGAAGTGCTGCCAAATTTTCTAGAGAGAGAGAGCCTTTCCGTGTGTTCTTCCGTTCTTCAAAACTTCAAAGGTCAGTTCGTTGAACTTTTCTCCAATTCCTTGCATACTTTGCTTCTTTTAGTCTTTGATCTGCTGTTAGTGGAGAACCACCCTTAGATCCAAAGTAAAACCCTCTAGGCTCTAGTTAGTTGTTATGATGAAGCTCCTGAACGATGAGTATTACCCTTATGACGATGAGCCCTCCGTTAAATCCCTTGACTACCGGGTAGTAGAAGAGTGTTGTGAGGAGATAGAGGAGCTGAGCTCCTTCAAATCAGGGGAGCAGGAGGGTAGCGAAGGTGAAGACGAAGAGGCTGCCTCGTCGTCTGACGGTGAGGACGTAGTGGTCTCCCGTGTTGTGGACGGAGCATCCACCTCAGCTACAATTCCATGCCCGAAACTGGTTTCTGCTGTGAAGGGGGCTGCCCCGACGAGAAGGCGTCGGCCGAAGAAGGGTCCAGGTTACTCCTACCTGGACCTCACGAACATTTATCTGATCAAGCCGGAGAGCAGCGCGGCCGATTACCTGGTGGCCCAGATGTATGTGGGGTCGTATGGGAGGGTTAGGGCGCCCAGGCCGACAGATCATGTGTTGAATCCACCCCCGGGGTATTTTGGAGTACCCCATGAGTTTTGCAAAGGGGTTCAAGTTTCCCCTCCATCCGTTCATTACGGAGTACTTGGACATGGTGGGTCTCCCTCCGGCCCTGTTGACTCCGAACAGCTATTCCCTTATCGTCGGCTTTCTCCTCCGCTACGACGAGCTGGACTTCAGGCCGACGACGACTTTGTTCATGAACTTATATCAGATAGGCCGGGGTAGCCACAAGAATTGTGCCGGCTATGCCAACCTTCAACAGCTGCCGAAGAAAAGGAGCTTTACCGACCTTCCCTCGTCCATTCACGGCTGGAAGAGTAAGTTTGTCTTTGTATCGCTGGGCGAGGGTGGCACCGAATTCCCCTCCGTCGGCCATGACAAAAGATTTAGCCTCCACGATGTGCCGAAGAGTGGCATTTTGGATGCCCAGGTGGCGGCATTCTTGAAAGGAGGGCCGAGGAGCGTGAAAGAGTACATGACGGAGTATAAGATGACCGCCCTCGGCTTCATGAGGTACTATGTGTACGGTGACAAAGAGAGTGACACGGAGATGTGGCCGAGGATGACCACCACGTTTGGGGAGGCCGATGGGCCAGATTTGGGTGTGCCCGCTGATGCTGATGGTAATACCCTCCCTCGTGTCTTCGTCTATGTTTG